TTGCATTTCTACATGTACACACACATGTATATTCCAAACCGCCCAAGCAGTTCTCTGACAGCACCACCTCCCAGTTGTATGATATTTTCCTCACAACCTCTGATTATGGACTTCTGGTCCCTGTCCGCTTCATTAATCCTACATATCGTGCAATATCCCTTTTTTTAATCTTTACAAATTTATAACCTTGGATGCTTTTTCCTCCCTTGGTATTTTGCATCGTAATATTAAGGGATATTTGGATAAAAACTACAAAATAGTTTAAAAGTATTTTTATGACGTAAAAAATAAATATATGAAGAAATTTGTTTCATTTTATAAAAAAATATTTTTTAAAAGTATTTTTATACATTTTCAAACACCTCTTAAGTCCTTGTTTCCAAATGATTTAAGATCTTTCTATTACATGACCATTGGTTGTCTCATGCAGCCCCCGGGGGCCGGGGGGGTTTTAAGTGCAAACCCTAATGGGCACGGCACACTTTGGACATTTAGGTTATACAATTATAATTTCATTCCTCACACGGTCATTATTGAAGAAACACGAACGGTGTTCTATATTCCTAAAATCATGATTTTGATTGGACGTAAAGTGCATCATCAAATGACGTAGTTGACTCAAATTTGTACCCATTATTATTGATTAAAGGAACTCAAAACAAAAACAGTTTTTTGAGGAGGGAAGGAAATTAATTACAAGTTGAGCTCAATATATATAATTCATCAAATAAAGCTGCAAAACACATAGGGATCGATGGTCACAAAAAAAGGGAAAGAGCGAAAACGATAAAGCTCCATAATTCAATTTGCACGAAAAAGTAAATTCCCTTTCATTCCAGAAAAGAAGGACAAAAGATCAATCATTATGTTGCTGATAACATCAACTTTCCTCTTTCTTTTTGGAAGTATATATGTTGGACAATGAAGGGGTGGAAAAAGAGAGAGAGTCCGAACGCCTTGTAAATTTGTGGCCGGTAGTTATACGGAGGGGATAAGAAGAGTTGAAAGGTGTTTGAAACGATCGATTCCGGTGTTGGAAAGGTTCTTTAATTTATATACAAAGTGCGATTAAAAAAGATAAATGCTTTGTTTAAAAAAAAAAATTGTTGAGGAAGAATAATGTTACGATAAGCTTCAGCTAATTATATCAATGTACTTCACGCCTTGTCCAGAGTAATTGTGGATGTGGATTCAGTTTCATAAGGTCAGTCTAGCCTTACTCATCCGACCCTAAATAAACTAACAGATAATCTAATGTTAACAAGAATATTTTAAAGAAATCATATATTATCTTTGACTCTTAATATAAAAGCTAGTTAGTTAATTTAAATAAATTAAGAAAATTAGTTAAGCTACTTATTTATAATAAATACTACCTCCGATCCTAATTATAAGACATTCTTACAATTAGAACCGGAGATAGTAAGTATTTTTTTTCCTAAATACCCTTGCTAATCAAGTTTCATTTATTGAATCATTTAACATGCGTAACAACTACAAGGATTATTTTGAAAAAAAATAGATAAATATATATGAGAGACAAAATAGATTGAGATTTTATATTTAAAACCAAATTAAAAGTTAAATTAACTCTGATATAAAGGACAAGTGATAGTAATATTTATTAGAATTAAGTTAACATTTAAAAAATGTTGAACTATAAGTCAAAAATGACGGGAACAAATGTTTTTGAGAAAGGAGAAAACATGCAAATAAAAATAATGCCCCAACAAGAGATAGATGGAACCTCATGATGAATGGTCCATTTTGTATGATGATGGGGTTGAATTTGTATGTGGTCAATATATCTGATTTGTGCGATTACTTGAGTCAATGGGATGATCCAAATGATGAGTGCATTGCCCCACTTCATGGAAATAAATTTCTCCAACTTCATCATTGCTTTCGTTTATTAATTAGGTTCCTTGTTTCCTCTTGAAGCTCATTGAGGCTATGCCATCACATACACCCAAATCATTAATACCGAAAGATATGTCATTTCATGCCACTTTCATCGCCGTTTTGATTTGTCAGCTTCCTAGTGGATTCATTTCATAGCTGGGAAGTTCTCACCACCTCATAAAATACTTCTGTTTCATGTATTTTCAGAAAACAAATAACATTCCGAGGCCGCCCCCAAAACAAAAACATTCTAATCTTAGTTATATTTCAGCCCTCAATATAAAACCCGTTTGACTAGTTTAGAAAGTTTAAGGAAATTACTAAATTATGTAATTATGATATATAAATTATGTAATTATGATATATGTTGTGTGATCTCTCTAAAATACTCACATATATCATTAGATTATATATCAATTTATAAATGAGACAAATTAGCTTAGAGGAAAACGATAAACATAAATATATAAAAGTAATTTAGTCTTAGTTTAGGAAAATTACTAAATTGTGTAATTATAGCATATATTACATAATCCCTTTAAAATATTCATGTATATTATTAGTTTATATATTTATTTTTAAACTAGGAAAATTAGTTTAGAGGAAAATGATCAACACAAATACATAAAAAGTAATTTAGTAACTTTCTTAATCTAATCAAATTAATCAATCGGGTATTATATTAGGTACTGAGATAGTAATATGTTTTGTATACTCACCTAATGTTTTTAATTAACTACTTTATCAAAGATTTGGGTCTAAAAATGTTTTAGAAGATAAAATAAAATGAGATATTATATTTAAAATTAAGACTAACTAAAAGAAGCATAATTAAGAATAGTGGCTTTGACGAATGGACAAGACAGGAGAAGAGACGGTGCAATTTGTGGAGATGTAAGGAGATTTGGGTCTCCAATGAGAGGAGGTTGTGGCAAAGAGGTTTTGGTATTATAAGTTGGAGAGTGGTCCAGGGAATAATGTCAACCATATGTATGCATATAATTCAAAAAGAAGAAGCTGCAAAAGGGAAGGTGTGAGGAGAGAATCTTGGGTGCCACAGAAGAATCACATAATGCGTGATTGGCAGAGAAATTAAAGAAGGAAGGAATAATGAATGGAACCAAATTTTGATGGTTTGTTTCGGTACCAGCTGTTGCAGCCTGCGGATAATGGCTATCTCTTCTCAAAGTGCTCGTCCATTTCATGCTTTTCCCCTCATTCTCACTTTCATTTCATCCCTCCATACATACCCATCATCTTCCATGACCAATAATTATTACTAGCTCCGGTCCTAATTGTAAGACTTCGTTTGTAGTCTACAAATGAGATCTGACAATTAGGTTTACAAATGAGATCTTACAATTAGAACCGGAAGTAGTAAATTATTAAAAAAATTCATTTCCCCATTCAAAACAACTTCGCTACTCTTCCACTAGTATTACAGGGGTAGGAATTAGCTGATATTGGAACCAGTTTTGGCATTATTACTATTCTTACCAATGAATTTTCCCAAAATGGGGGCATTTCTCCATCCTCAACTCTGTATGGATCTATATATATAAAGGCAAGGTTTTTAAAGGTAGATATTTGATTGAAGATGTATTGCCATATACTTTCCACACTTGACATTTTTTGCAGTATCCGAAAAAACACTAACTTATTAGCTAAATCTTGTCTTCTCATGACCTGTCTCAATTACAGGCTAGCGTGGGTGCACCACTTTATGACCACTTGATCCCTTATATAACAACAATATATAAAATACATGACATGCACCTGATATTATATTTAATCACCATGCCTATGTGCCCCAAACAATATATGATTTCATCTCCATAATCTTGGTTTATTTTATTGTTCAATTGATTCCCTTTGAATTTTCATTTTGGACTATCGAATTTAACAAAATTAAGCTTCAGGTCAGGGCGTTTCTTCTTCCTGTTGTTCAATTAAAATATGACGAGCACACATTTCAAATGTGATTTGTTTATTCAGAATATTTGAATATTAAATCTTACGCAAGGCTTCGAGTCATATACCTATCATCGAAAAAAATGTATATCAGTTATAAAAACCAATTACAGGAATATAAGAGCCTTTGCTGAATTAAATGTATTGTTAAAAATTGGAAAATTCTCTGGAACCATGAAAATAGTTTTTCTTTCCTTTTTTTTTTGGGGGAAAATTGCAATAAAGACCCATCCAAGAGAATTTAATACACATAGGTCCCTTAAAATTATCAAATTATTCTGAAATCTCAAGAGACCTCATTGTAAGAAATTTTATTTGTTTAATTGCCAAATTACTTGTATTTTATTAAGTATGCATTGACAACTAAAAGAATGGTTATTAACAATTTAAGGTATAACGGTTAACAACTATCACGGTAGGTATTGATAACACATTTTCTTAATGCATCACAATGAGTTGTCAATATTTGCTACAATTGTTGTTAATCGTTATATCTTAAATTATTCATGACTGTACTTTCAGTTGTCAATACATACTCTAAAAAAAAGATAAGGGTAAATAAATAGAAATTTTTGCAATAAGGTCTCTTGGAACTTCAGATTAATTTGATTATTTTAAAAGATATTTTTGTATTTAATCAAGTGTGGTCTTATGGCAAATTTTTTTGGGGAAATTGCAAAAAAAGACCTTGGAATTGCAAAAACGCAGATAGGGACCCTTGACAACTTCACTATGGGTTTTGACAACTTCAGAGCATATTATTCTTGTCAAAACCCATAATGAAGTTGTCAAGGGTCCCTATCTGCGTTTTTGCAATTCCAAGGTCTTTTTTTGCAATTTTCCCAATTTTTTTTTCTTTTTTTCCCCTGACAAGCATAGGCGTGGCTTTTCTTACATTCCTCAGAACTCAACGGCCTACAAACTCATATGCCCAAATTTTTCTTGGGTCAAACATAAGCGAATCTGGACAACAATAGACTATTTACTCTGGATCCCAATCCATCGGCCCATTAACCCAAACACCGATAAGCCCATCGGCCGGCTAAGCATGAGAAGCCTCTGCTTCGATTTTTGTTAAACCCTCACCACCCCCTTAAAACCCTAAGGCCTAGAACCTTCCACTCTCATCCAGAGATCCTGCTCTTGGGGCTCCGTTACTCTCTCGTATGATTTAAAAAGCGATCTAGATCATACTACACTCCTTGTATTGATTTCTAGCGGAATTTCCAGGGAAACCCTATATTCTCGGTTCTGAGAGATGGCAAAGCGTTTGATTCCAACCCTCAACCGCGTCCTGATCGAGAAGATAGTCCCTCCTTCCAAGACCACGGCCGGGATTCTCCTCCCCGAGAAGTCCTCCAAGGTCTCACATCGCTTTCTTAGTCAATGCCTACGTTTGTTTGATTTTTCATTCGTGTTTGTGGCTCAACTTGCTGGTTTGAGTCTTGCCTTTTTTGGTATCTAAGTTATTTCGGGAGCGGCTTGATATATCTCTAGGTTTTAATCTGTGTTATGTTGAATTTCTTCACTATTTGGCTGAAGTTGGGTTTGTTCGAAAACAGCTTAATTCAGGGAAGGTGGTAGCAGTAGGACCTGGAGCGCGAGACAAGGCAGGGAACTTGATTCCGGTGTCACTGAAGGAGGGCGACACTGTGCTGTTGCCCGAGTATGGCGGCACCCAAGTCAAGCTCGAGGACAGAGAGTATGCTATCTGAACATTGTTTCATTGTTTCATTCTTTTCAATAAATAATCATATTCACTGCTTGAAATCTTTTAGAACTTCAGTTCACACTCCGAACGGAACTTTTCGTATATCTTCTTACATGCTCTCTTAAGTATCGATAGTGTGATGCTGTACATAATAGATATTTCTAAGGTTAAAGAAATGGTTGTGTTTATGAAAATTTAGAGTAGAGGAATTGAGAATATGAATTAAAGGTGGAAGATGTGTGTAGATTTTAAGATTGTCGTAATTGTAAGTTATGTCAATATTGATAATGTAGGTTGTTGATTGCTGATTTAAAATATTCCAACCGGCTTCTTCTATTGCAGGTTTCATTTGTTCAGGGAAGAGGATATTTTGGGCACCCTGCATGATTGATGAATTGAACGCTTCCTAAATTGAGGGTTGCGACTGGTAAAATATAGTGGTGTCAAGTGGATGTAATTTGGCATCATTATTTAGAGACTTTCACTCACAATGTCATGCTTGATTGTGTTCTGAAAAATGACAATGGCAATTGTTCTCCTTTGATTTAGTGGCGGCCATTTCAATTGAACCTGTTTAGTTTAATGTGCTCTGACTTTCTAATTTTTTTTTTTTTGCCATTAAACAAACGCTGCTTCTCTTAATTTTTGGGGCTTAGTAATAAACATCCCTTATTTCAAATATCTGGAGATAACCCCAAATTATAATCTCCTTAAATTGAGTCGTATGCAAATAACTTTCTTGAACAATTGAACTTAAAAGTATTTAGAATGTAAAGAATATTATTTACGTGAATAATTTGATTTTTATTTACACGAAGCTTTGTATATTTTATTTTTGCCAGCAATACGTGTTACAAGTCAGAAGGCACACTTGGTTAATGGCCGCGTGAGAGAGGGCCGATTCGAATTTTGCCTAGAGTTTCTTCGAGGGGTTCGGGGTCAGAATGAAAGGGAAAGCATAACCTTGAAATCACCATAAAAGAGATCCATGAAGAAAAATATTCCTCGGCAATATAACAAGAAAGGCCAAATTTGGATATAAATATGTTTCTATCTTAATTGCACCGCTCTTTCATGGCATGATGCCACAAAAATACAAAATAGCCATGTTTATCATTTGCGAGACGTTGACATGTTATTCATAGAAGTCACATAAACTGCTCATGTAGCCAAGTTGAAGCTCTGATCCAACCAAGGCAACAATATACAAAGGCAAAAGCTAATAGTTGTGCAAGCAAATATCTCGAATAGATCAGAAATATGCGGGAAAAAAATATGAACAGGTAGATTAGCATCAAGGTCTGCATTACAGCCCACTCAATAATATTGAAGCCAATGACTTTATTACAACTAAATCCTAAAATAGCCATAAGATGTTGTACGAGTCTCTCTCTTTCAAAAAGCACACGGGTCAGAAGTTCCAACTATCCTAGAAAAGGACAAACCTAACCAATAATTCAAAGTAACAGAAATATAGTTCTTATAAAATCAATTCAGCAGATAGCGAAAATAAAGAACCGTCAGGGAAAGCCGTATAACTACAAATGACATGGACTTCTGCGCCATTTTGAGTTAGTTTTTCAGCCATGAAGGAAAGAAGAATCAACCATGTGGACTAGGTGGCGCCAGGAACTGCCGTATAATAAAGAACCGTCAGGGAAAGCCGTATAACTACAAATGGCATGGACTTACTCCTACACCATTTTGAGTTTCAACCATGAAGGAAAGAACAATCAACCATGTGGCGCCAGGAACTTCCCATAGTCAAGCATCTCTTGCTAGGCAAAACTACAGCATGAGATAAATGCTACATATGTTAGTTAGCTTCTAAGTCAAATGGTTTTCACTAGAGAGGCCTCTTGGTCTTTGTTTATTGGTAGAGTACAAAGGGAAGTATATACGTATTTTGAAGTACCTTTGGGTCTGATTATTGAATGAGGAAGGCAATGGTATCTTAATGGTTACCTGAAAATAAAAGCATTAAAGGGTAAGTTGGGATGAAATTTCCTGTGTTGGAGAAGTTCTCCATCAACATATGTATTTTTAAGATGCATTGAAAATTCCAGTCTCTTTAGAAACTGTCCAGTTTTGTCATTTTCCCAGTCAACTACATACTTATAAACCCCACGGACACCAACATTTCCGCTAAGGCGCTAACTCACAAGTCAATAATGGTTGTTCTCCAGCTAAAAAGGGAGATACGCACAAAATCACAAATAAACATCCATGAATACTCATAAAGAACAAGGTCAAATTATGCGCAAGAATTCAAGAAATCAGCACCAGCAAAGAAGAAAAAATAATTGCTTATAAAGTCTGTAGCACAACTTTTGGCAGCATAATAAGCATCCTCGTTGCTACAAAGATCAAAGACCCACAGGCCAGAATCACTTTAATGCACTTGTTAGAGCTGGTAAGCATTCTCGCCATGGTGTAATTTCAATTGGTTGGTATGGGTAATAAAAATTTTTTGAAACTTGTTTACCATCATTAACTAGACGAAGGTGTGAGTTCAATATACATATCAAGGACTTCCACAGTTTGGATCAGCAAATCATTCCTTCCGACTCAGTAGAGCTATGAGTTCTGATACCAAGCAGCAAATAAAAAGTACAGCAAGTCTGAGTAATTTTACAAGTAAACTCATCAACACGTAGATAACAGGCCATATCATTAGATCTAACACGGACTAATCCTTGGCTTGAAGATTCTAACTATATGACAAAAAGAAAGGGCCTCACAATCCTATTATCAGGAAAAATGACTAGCATAATCCGCCAAATAAATAAATGTAACATTTTCATTGAGTAAACATTAAGGACATACTATATGCAGAAGGTTCTTGAACCCAACAACAGAATTCAAGGACACATGTGCCTAATGAATTTGATGGAAAATGCCACTCTTACCAACGACCCAAAGCCAACACATGTATTTAGTAAAAATTATATAAACCTACAAGATTTGATTGCTCGGGAGAATCTGGAAATTGATAATAACAATCATTAAGGATCAAATATGGCAGTGAAACAGTTGTATTGAACGGGCCAGAATCTTAATGAATAGCATTATTTTGCAAGACTATCACTATCTCATACATCATAATAAAAAACTTAAAGTCAGAAAACAAACAGCCGAAAAAGAATATAGGGTCTTATATGTGATTATCAATTGTTAAGTTTAGCTCAACCCGAACCTCCCAACGTCAAATGAAAGACCTTTACGATTGGAAACCCCAGCTCACTTATATTCAAAATTCGGGACTGGCGGAGCATCAAAACTCTCCAAAACCTTGGTCTCGCTTCCCCCACTCGTGGTGTGTTCATCCTTCTTGCCTTCACCAAGCCATCCCCCGAACCATGATTTACTTTCCGAACCCGAATCCGAAGGCACAGACGGCGACGTCATCTCTTGAGGTACGGTTGGGACCGGTAATCTATTATTGGAAGGGTTAGGGTACCCAGGCATAGGTTCTTCAATCATTATAGGCATCTGTTGCTGTGCGCTGAGGAACTTGTTGAGCATGATCCCAGCTCCTTCAATCATGGCCAACAAAACGCCGCCGAACGCCGCCGAGCGAGCAGAAGCCCCAAGACCCTGCCTCATGGAGAGAAAGCCACCGGTAGCAGCACCGGCGATGATGGAGTTCCAGGGGTCCTCCTTCTGACGAAGATAGACCATGGTACAGTCAAAAGTGGAGAACAAGCCGCCCCAGACAGCGAAGCTGCCCCCAACACGCGGTGCGTTGAGGCGAACGGCTTGGGAGCCGCCGATGAGCCGCGATCCCTTGGGAGAGTTATAGAGTCCTTTGAGAAAGTGAAAGGCGGAGCCGCCAACAGCTCCCATGCCGAAAGCGCCGCCGATGTCATCGAGAATACGATCGGGACAGGGTTCCCGAGAAGTCTCTGGAGTCCCCATCAAGAGAAAGGGTTGGGTTTAGGCGTTGCGTTTGAATTGAATGAACTCTACGGGAAGCCGTCTCTCTTTCGATCGAGCTAAATCGCACGCACCGCCTCCTCCTCCTCCTCTCCTCTGCTTCCTTGGCCTGCGGAGGTAGGGATTATTGAAATCCTCAGATATTCTTCCTCCGATCCTTTTCTTCATAGCCGGGTCGGGCTTTTTATATCGGATGCCCGTATTAAGTATGGCTTTTTTCCTGCGGAGAAAAAGCACAAGAGTGTTAGATAGAAATCAGTTCATAGTTTTCAAAAATAAAATAAGTATAGGAAAAGAATTTTATTTTAATTAATATAAAAACATTTCTCCGGTCCTTAATATAAGACCCATTTAACTAATTTGATTAGATTAAGGAAGTTAGGTATGTTAGTTAATTATAAGAAAAGTGACACATTTTTCCTAAAATACCATAATCATCTTTTTAATGTCTCATCTCCCTCTTCTACTTGATTGTGGTTGATGGAAGTATTTATAGGGGTAATTTAGAGAAAAATGATAAATATGATAAATGGGTCTTATATTTAGAAACAAAATTATCCAAGAATTAGGTCCTATATTTAAAGAGCGGAGGAGTATTTTAAAAGTTTTTTTTTTAAATTATTCCAAACACTTCTTAATCTAGTGGCTGCCAAAGCCAAAAGAAAGAAAAAGTTAGTCTAATGATACAAAAACTTTCATATAAACAAGAGGTTAAGAATTCAATTTAGCTCCTAATATGAAGTAGTTGATTCACGTCTCTATAATTAACAAGAAAAGCACACCCATGAGCACTTTTAAAAACTAAACTACTTATTTTTTATTATCTTTGAAATTCGTACAAATTTATAGGCCATGCATTTTTAAATTTAAAGTATATTTATTCTAATTTGATAAAATGTATATTAAGTAAAAAATTTCAAGTAACCAGTTCTCTTATTTTTTGAATTGTATATAGCCTATAAAAATAAATTATCACAAGTACTACCTCCGGTTTTTAATATAAGATCTTGTTTAATTTTTATATTGGTCCTAAATATAAGATCCCAATTCACTTTGTCTCTCATATTTATACTTTTTTTTCTTCAAAGTAGTCCTCTAACAATGGTAGTTCTAGCCAACACACTTGATTAGCAAGGATATTTTAGGAAAGACAAACCTATTTAGGACAAATAACTAAATTAATTTACTTCTTAATCTCCTCAAATTAGTCAACTAGCTCTTATAATTAGGATTGAAAGTAGTACAAACCTGAACATTTATTTGGATACTCTTCTGAAATTTAAGGTCATGTTCACACAATAATTTAAACTATAGATTTGTTAAGGAATAAAATAGCGAAGAGCATATTTATGGGGGATATTCACCGGTGTATTTTTTTTTTAAAAGTATAGATATTTTTTTATTGAAGGTAATCCTATTTGAAGCACTATCAGACACTTCTTTTAACTGAGATTTGAATCTTGATTTGCCGCGTTATGAGGGGCTAACTCCTTTCACTTGATTGATTTCATCAATGTATTTATATGAACATGAAAATGTTGAAACACTTCAAGCAATGAGGTAAAAAAAAAAAAACACCACAAGTAATGGTACTGATATCATGTCAAAACAAGAGTTTTTCTTTGTTTAGACGGTATCTTGAAAATTGAGGACACTTTCGGTCAAGAATTTGAGCTAAGGATTTATATGCAATACTGGAATAGCATTTTTGTTCAAGTTTTACTAAATTTTCTTCGACACGCTAACTTTAGTCAAGTAACAGCATATTTGGTTTTGGAATTTCTTAAATAATGGAATGAGGAAAATTACTCAAACACCTAATTATTATGAAGGAGAAGAATTGCTTGGAAAGATCATTTGACCCATCAAACTAGATTTGCTTCTTCTGCTGCAAGGTCAACCCTAAAATCATGGTCATTTCATCACGGCTTGAATTGAAGCTAAATGGCAGGCATAATCCCATGGAATTTCCAAAAACTTGATGTTGTCTTCTTCTATACTCACCATCACAAATCGGTGGAGAACATGGATTTTCTGTTCAATTATTTCTCCACGCAGCTTCACACCTTGTACTGAGAGTCAGGGATAAAAGAAAAGGAGGGGAAAGATTGGGAAGAAATAAGAAAGAGGTGCCTTTCCCTCTTCATCAATCAAAAGGAAATACTTTTCTTCAGAGTCCACAAGAAAACATGCCTTAGCTAGCCAAAGCTTGAACCCATCATCCCCACTCCTGCCCGGTGCCCCGCACGTGCAATCTCTCTCTTCCCTGAACAAGGCGCGCAGTTCTCGTCTTTCTTTTCCATTGCAACACTTCCCGACGCTGCCATTGTCTGGGCGCCTCTCAAGCATCACCCTCTGGATTTTTGGGTGAAGGGGTGGGGTACAGGGATGTGCGTTCGCATGGGAGTAATGATGTGATGTGATGTAGAGAGTTTGATCCCAAATGCACCCTTACAACCGGCTACCCAGTAGTGGCCACTCCACGCCTTCGCCGCCGCAGTCGCCACGTCGGTCCCCGAGGTTCCGCCACAGCCGTTCTAAAACCGGTCGGTTCTCTCCGGGACAGCCTGCTGGCCGAACTGTTGCCCAACGTCTCGCCTGGATCTTCCTTTCTGTCCTACTCCGCCGTCAGGGGGTTTTCCTCTTCGCTCCCCTTATTTACATCTCTGGTATGCTTCTATACATGGGCACTGTCTCATTCGATGTCGTTCCGGTCATCAAGCATCGTCCGGCTCCTGGGTCCGTGTACCGGAGCCCGGAGCTGTATGCGAAACTCCGACACGAGATGGATGCAGACAATTCTTCTGCCGATGCGGTTGGTCTTAGTAGATTTGCTTTGCTGTTTTTAGTCTTTTTAATGGCTTTTGTTTACGATGTCTAACAGAAATTTTAACTGTTTTTTTTTTAATGGGATTCATCATGAACGATAAAGAATCATAAGGATTTTTTGATATTGTGTGATCTAGTAATGGGGATCTTATTTTACGTCCTATATTTAACTCCAATTGTTTTGGGAAGTTTTGAGGCTAAGAACGGGAAGGCTCAGACGATACTCCAGTTTTCTTGCATTATATGTCCTGAATGTTTCGATGACCTCTTTGTTTTACGTAGTTTTATTTAACGTAGAATTCCCATGGAGATTGAACAATTATATGCTACATCTGTACTAGTTCATCATTATATGCTTTCTGGTAGAGTTTCTTTGACTTCCTAAAGGAAGAGGAGTTATTCTCTATCCGGTCTGAATTCATTGGCTAAACATCTACTGAAAAGGAACTTACTAGCTGGTGGAGCCCGTAAAACTGTTCAATAACAGAGTTCTGATGGAGGAAATTGGTGCCAGGCCAGGCCATCTCGTTTCCTCTATGATGCCCCCTTAGGTATTAGAAACTTATGATGCCCTCTTAGGTACTAGAAACTTACTACAAATTCTCTAGTGAAGAAACCGAAGTTAGATACTGAATAAGGAAGCTTGGAACTGATTGTTGTGCTTGTGGAAGAATTTTTCTTGCTTATCATCAAGCATGTGATTGGGGCAAGTAGGAATTGTAAGTCTGTCCACTTGTTGTTTGAGAGTGAACCGCTCATGTCTGCTTACTTGGAAAACATTTCACGCATGGTCACAAAATCTGTGATAGGGTCCCCCTTGCTTAGAGTTCTAAATTAACAGGGAGCAACAGAATCTAAAAATGCTGGGCCTTTTCTTTACGGTTCATGAGCTCTATGGGTCCTCTTGCAATTTTTCTTGCTATGATTCCCTGTTAATGGAATTTTCTGGCTCACAGGCATCTCTTTTATTTGGATTGCTATTTTCCATTTTTATTGTTATTCGTCTTTAATTTATTGAGTCTTTTGTTGACTTCTTTCTTGTTAATTCTAGATCTTGATGGTTTGATTTTGGTTTTTGGTCCAATTGGTTACTTTTAGTAACACAAGCTATTAACTTTCTTTCAGATATCAACAATATGGAAGAGTTCCTATAAAGGTGGTGAGTGGAAACCATGTGTCAACAGGTCTTCAGAAGGTATGATATGCTTAGCACGATACACCACTAATGAGAACAGTTTTTTCCCCTTTATTTTCAATTTCTCTTTTTTATTATTACTTGGGTGCTGTTGTTATTATTGACGGTGATATGTACTTTTTATGCCACCCTCATGATATAATGCCTTGCGAGAGGTTGCTTCTTGTTGGATTAAAAGATCAACACCACCAGCTTACTGTTGTCCATCATTTGCAGTTTATACACAATATAGTCACCTTTTCTGATACATTCTCTATCTCCTGGTGTCTAGAGTGGGTGTAAGCTTTTCTTTGTTGTCCATCAGAAAGTACAGTTGTATGGAAGAGAAATATGACTGGCTGCTTAAGCTTGCATTGACGGGGAAATAATTTGAATGTTAAGGAATGACCTGATTGTGAAACTTCGTCTCTATACTTCTCTTATATCCTATTTTCATAGTTGTTTCTTATTGCAGAGGGATGAATCTCTTCTTAAAAACTCGGGGACAAAGAATTTGGCGGATATAAACTAAAGTCTAAACTTTCCTTTCACTGCATCTGCTGCTAAATGGACAAATACAAAAGATTTTCTCTATAACAATGAAGTTGATGGACTGAAGTATTAGCTTGTTTTCTGGATTTTTCCCCCTATATATCCAATGGTAGTTTTTTTGGCCCGGGGGGGGGGGGAGGCCTGACATATCGTGGCTTTTCCTTTCTAGTCAGTCCTCAGTTTATGATATAATTTCTTTTAGGTTTCTTGTTTTGGCCGTTTTGTTTTGCTCGGGTGGGTAGCTGAAAGCATTAACGAAGTGAGTTACTCACTCGTTCTTTGTTGATTACCTTTAATTGAGCTTACTGCTGTTTATTTGTCTACTTTATTTCAATTATGGAAGTTATATTTATGTTCCTGGCTATCATATTTTTTCTGTTATATTTTAATGCATATTTCTCGTATGGATTACGTAGGTCTACCAGAATCAAATGGTTTCATATATGTGGAGGCTAATGGTGGCTTAAATCAGCAAAGAACATCAGTTAGTGTTTTCTTTTCATTCATTCTTTTTTAAAGTTTTATTGATGGTATTGAGATTATTGTTTGACTTAAGATTTCTTGCTTTGGTAC